AAGGGGGGGGCTGTCTGTCGGCTGCCCCCGCTCCATCCCCCTCACCCCTCCCCATGCCCACTTCCCCGGCCCACACCAGCCAACTCCGCTCGCTCCTGCCCCCAGCTCCGAACCCGAGATCTCTCCCTCTTCCGGGACCTGCGCCAGGGGGCCAGCTCCCTCATCCTCCACCCCACGCGGGTCTCGCACCGTGGCACCTACGTCTGCCAGCTGACCGAGGAGGACGACGTGGTAGCCCGCAAATACTTCTACCTCAATGGTGAGAAGGGATGTGGGGTTGAGTGGTTAGAGCCGGGGGACTGGGAGCCTCGGTTCCATTCCCAGCCCAGGGAGGGGAGTGAGGTGGAGCTGGTAAGACCGGGGCAGGCGGCTGGGAATGGGGACTCCTGGGTTCGGTCTAGTGGTTGGAGCAGCAGGCGCTGGGAGCCAGGCCTCCTGGGTTTTCTCTCCCCACAGTGACTTCCAGCAGCCAGGGGGCAGAGACGGACCTGCAGAACATGTTCCTGGCCATTTTGCTGTCCCCAGGGGGGCGGGGGGCCGGCGGGCCCGAGGGACATTTCCCCCGGCTCCCGGAGCTGCTGGCGGAGCCCGACTCCCTGCACAAGAGGAACGTGGTGCTGCTGATGGTGGGGCTGGCATTGAGCGCCATGCTGGGCACCCTGCTGCTGGGGTGAGCTTGCTGGGCCCCTCCAGCCTGGGAACCTCTCCGCCCCATGGGCCTGACCAATGGCCCATCTGGCCTGGGACTCCACCCCTACCAGACCTGACCATTGGGCCCACCCACAGCCTGGTATCTGGTGGCAGGGAGTTCCCCAGGCCCCCACTTCCTCCTCTTACCAAGCCCTTGGTGGCCCCAAACTCCCTGCTCTGGGGGGGCCTAGCCCAGCCCCCAAGACCCCATTGGCCTTCTGGGTCCCAACTCAGTCCAGCCCCCTTCCCTCCCCCCTCCGTAAGCACCCAGCAGTGACACCAGCATGCTGGGGGCTGGAGGCTGCATCCCTCCTTGGGCTTGTCCCCCCCCGCCGCCCCCTGCCATGGCTTCCTTCTCTCACTTTCTCCTCCCTTCACA